CCTTACACCCACTCTCTATTAAATGTCCCTTTGACAAAGAAAACCTAAGACGTACATTGATCTAAACTGTTTGCAACAGAACTCTACACTTTATATTTGTGCAAATGGAAATTGCAGATGCACAGCATAATTGATGTGACTGTTCTAGCAAGCTAAAGGCTAAACTGCAGCCAACTCCCAGTCCTTTGTGTTTTTTTCCAAAGGCCAATAATTCACTGAATGTGTACAGAATTTTTGCAAGAAAAAGCAAAACCAAAATCTGTCCCCAGATAACCCACCCTATTATTTCTTCACCTTCCTTTTCCAAGCACAATCAAAAGCCTTGCTTTCAAGTTTCATAGTATTAGAGTTCCTCAACAAAACAGTCACCAACATCTTTTTTCATGGTTCTCAAAATTATCTGAAAAAAAATCTGGCTAAAACTCCTTACACAGAAATTCAGTTCACTGCAAACCTCTAGCAGAGACTATTGCAGCTTAAATGATTGAAATCTGACAAAGTTATTTGCAACTGTGGTACATTCTTAAAATGAGAATGGTAGGGTAGGGCCTTGATGATAAGTATTGGTGACAAATTGAGTTTTGTCTATAATAAGAACCTCGTCTTTGGGACTTTGCTGACAGCTGTGCAAAATTTTCTATCACAAAGAGAAATTGCAAGCCATGATACTTGTAGTGTCCTTCCTGCAGAAGGGCACTGTCTTCTCATCCAAGCCTCTCTCTTCACATATGGAGTAGCTGCAGCAGACTCCCAGTCCAGCTCTCAACTCCCCCAGAAACATCATTTAGTAGACTTATCAAATTCAGGACATAGAATAATGGTGGTTTATGGTTTTTCTCTGTGTGTGTAGTTGTTTATAAAGTACATTTCAATAATTAATCTTCAAAAGACATTATTCTCAATAATCAATTCTGAGTTTTCTCAACATTGTGGGCTCTATGCTGCCAAGCTATTTGCTTTAGTAATAGTAAAAAAATTATTTTTGAGCTGTTAAGCAAATTAATTTTATTTACAAATATTATGCATTCCCAGTGAAGTTGTTAAATCAATATTAAATCAGAGAGATCCCTTATCTTGGACATGTACTGCCTGGTTGACTAGTAACAAAAATTACATCACTTTCCATTAAGATGGCTGCCACCAGGCTTGATCTTAGAAATGCCAACTGTAGTTAAGACTTCTCCAAGAAATGTTTCATCATTTCTTTTTGGCCACAAGAAAGAATTTTTTCCATTTCAATCTGAAACATTTTCATAGTTCTGGACTACACAAATGAATGCGGTTTTTCTTCAGGCACACAATTGACAAATTCCTGAGAACAAGGTGTTTGGAGAAACAGCCTATGCATGTTGAATTATTAAAATTTATTCCATAGTTATAGAATACCAAGATCTCACCAGGCTGTGATCCACAATTTCCCCGTTTTGCCCATTTTTCTCATTATTTCATTCCTCCTTCTTGCCTGTAATCCTCTCTTGTGATTTTGGCTTGAAGAAACCTTTAAACTTACTGCTAACAAGGGAAAGTAACTTAAAAGGTATTAGAAATCTGTATGGGAATTGTATAGGTTCACATTTTATCTCCTAAGGTGGTTTTTTTTCCTGATATTTAGGTCTGTCATTATTATACATTATAACGTTTGAATTGTCAGGACAATGCGTTATTTTTCTTACCTTCTGATATTTAGCTTGAAGCACTTGGAAAGAAATGGGAATAAACAAAAATTCATAAGATAAGTTGCAGTCTAAGCCTGTCATCTGAAGTAGGCCAGCATTAAACTGGTCTAGGATTGAGGAAGGAGAGCTGCATTAGATGAGAGTGGGAGGACTAAAAGTAATTTCTTTCACTGTCGCTTCTACAGTAATTCAGCTCTTTCATAAAACTCCCAGTAAGATTGCTTTTTGCTAGTTCAGTTTACTCTGGAAAATATCTTTTCCTTCCTGCACATGCAATCTGAAAATTTTAAAGGCAGATTAGAGTTTTAAATGTTTTTTAGTACACATCAAAAGTGTCAGCTGAATTATACTAGGAGCTGGAGCCACAACATAGGTAATCTACGGGTAGTGGCATTTTGTTCCATATTATACCCTTTTGCCAATGTCTTGGAAAGGCCAAGTCTAAAGAACAATACAGCCTCTGTATTCATATGAGGTCTGTTTCTTAAGATGACAAAGCAACTTCAGGACTGCTGAGTGTCATCTTTGATTTCCATTTCTTTCATGAGTGGAGCTCGGTATTTTTAAGTGTTGCTTAGCATGCTACAACAGTAGTGTTTTTAGGGTAAGCACAACCAGCATGTTAACTCCCATTGATGAATTTTGCTATAGAAATGAGGTGTGATAGAATAGGTTTTACTCTGGTCACCAACATGTGTTTACATGGCACCAGGTGTTCCCCTTTACCATTAGGGGTTATTAAGCTTTGCTGGTATGATAGCAGGGAACAACTTGTTTTATGTTCTTGGTTCCCTCCTCCCTTGCATTGTGTGTCCTGTGCGTAGCCCCTTGTAACTAGAATAAGCTGTCATTCATAAAGATGTCCATGCACCTGACACTCATACTAGATACTGGGAAGCAGAGCGCTGAGAGGTTTACCTGCATGTCCTTTCTGCATACTAATTTACAGTCAACAACAGTGACTGTTAGGCCTGTAGCTCTTTTTCATGGTAATGTTAATAGAAAACCAACGATTGTTGCTCTTCTGAATTGTTTGGTACTCTGCTGCACAGGTGGTGAGCAGTTGCATCACTTGTTTTTCCTGGGTTTTGTTCCTCTTGTTGTTTTCACCATTTTTTTTTTTGTTACTATTATTATTATTACTAATACTATTGCTGCTGCTGTTGTTATTATTATTATTACTATATTTCAATTATTAAACTGTTCTTATCTCAACCCACAAGTTTTCTTACTTTTACCCTCCCAATCCTCTCCCCCATCCCACCGGGGCAGGAGGGTGAACGAGTGGCTGCATGGTGCTTAGTTGCTGGCTGGGGTTAAACCATGGCAGACGGCTTTCATGGTCACTTGTTGCACAGCATCCTCTCTTGAAAATTAGAAGGCAGGTGTGTGACTTTCAGTGGTCCTCTCTTTTCTGACATTTCATTTCAAGAAAATAATGTGAGAACTTAAAGTTTTACTTATTAGGCTGAAAAATGAAAATGCAAGGATGTCAGGAGATCATTGGCTTCTTTTTTATCACTCTACCCATTTCAATTCAATACAAAGATCATCTGCAGGGATTGGCACCTGAAAGTTAAAAGGACAAACAGCCTGTTCCAATAAATTGATATAGCTCTCTGCGCTTTTCATTTTGTTAAAAATAATTTTTAAGTGAAATATTCTAAAGACATTGCAAAAACTTGTAAAGTAGAAATATTCTATTAAAAATCATTTAAAATTTAGGCGGAAGAGAAAACCGTATCTTCAGATGTTGAAGTCAACGTTTATCTTTGAAAGTCCTCATATTGAAATAATATCTCCTGATCTGATAAGTAGATTCTTATTTCAGATAATTACATGGCATCTTGGAAATAAAAAGAAATTTATTTCCAACTGCACAGGTCTAATATAGGTTTTGTCTTGCAATACTGGAATTCCTAGAAGGCAAAGGATTTCAGTACTTATGTACCAAAAGCATAAATGGACAGAGTTAGTTATTATTTCACATATGGTACAACTCCACATCACTGAAGTAGGAAAAAAGCTTCAAATTTGTTTATTGTATGGTGTTGCAGAGTTCCCAATGCTTTGTGTATGTAGGAAAAACTTTGAACAAAACATTAAGGTGATCCTTCATATTCAAGCATTGATTAAATATCTAGTTTGTGTACATAATTGAAAATTATTTCTACTTGGGGTGGGAATAATTGTAATTTGTATTCCTATTAAACCTACTTGCTGAGGAAACATGAAGGAGTTTTTATGTAAGTGTGTAAGTGAAGATCCAGTAAAAAATACTTACAGATGATTGAATCTGTAACAAACTGCTTTTGCTTTTGAAAATCCCAGCTATTGTACCATCATAAGATTTTGCATCTGAGAAAGCTACCTCAAAACTAATGACAACTTTTCAAATTGCTGAGTATAAGGGGAGAGGAAACGGGCAAACATCTTGAGCTGTTGACTGTGGGTGGTTGCTGCATTCACCTGTCCCCCCCTAGTTACTTGTAGCTGTGACAAAACTTATACTGCAGAAAAAATGGGTATTTTTAAAACAATTCATTTTCCTTCAGCTAAAAATCTGTGGTTCGTATATTTTTAGCTTAAAGAGTTCTTTCAAAGACTCTGAACTAGTGTGGTTTGGGAGCAGCTATTTGAATAAAAAATAATGCTTTTCATGGCTTGCTAAACTGGGCTCTGTTCACACAAGCAGTGGTGTGCAGCTCAGATGCTGGTAGGTTTAGTTGCTACTAATGTTTTGTTTATAAGGCAGTTGAATTTTAAAGGAAAACAACTATGGGTATAGAAAACAATTTTTCATTCTTCTTAGTACATTTGATTTTTTTTTTTTTGCACATCCAAGTTCACTTGCAACAAGCTGTATACATACAATGAGCTTCTGCCTGCCTACAGAACTGTGAAAATTAATTGTGTTTTGATGAGGTTTTTTTTAACTTTATGTTCTCAAGAATGCAAGAAAAATTTAATTAAGGTTTGTAGATAGGATCTCTAAGGAAAGAATATTGTGAGAATTTACTTTTGCTCTTTTTGTTCTGAGATCCTGAAGTCTATTTCCATTACTGGACAGGACTGGCAGATGAATTACAATTAAAGGCACAATAGCAAAAGGGATTAAACACACGGCCAACAGTGTAGGCTTCCTTCAGTACTTTTCATTGCATAGAAAGTGTGGCTTCAGTCCTGCTCAGTTTACTATATCAACCTGCTTTAGTAGAACCCTGCTGACCTTGGGGCCTAGTTCTCCTGAGCAGTGCATGAGAAATGAGTATCTGCGTTTCCTTCTGCCAAATGAAAATTCTTGCTTTTCCTTCTTCCCCACAGGAGGAGAGGTTCCATACACAACCCTGGCAACCCGACTGATGATGGGGGCTTGGTGGCTTTTTGCTTTGATTGTCATCTCCTCCTACACGGCAAACCTAGCGGCTTTCCTCACCATCACACGCATTGAGAACTCCATCCAGTAAGTTGATAAAGAATGAATTGAGGGAAAGGAGGGTGAACATATATATGCTTGTAAAGGGGTATGAATGTTCTACTTAAATGTGAGAAAAGGGAAGAATTTTTATCATCCTGAGAAGTAGTTGGGAAGCTAAAAAAAATAACAATATACCATAGACTTCCAGTCTCCCTGGAGACACTTTTTCCTTAGGATCAGAATTGTTGGCATCTGGCAGATACTCTTCTGTGACACATATACATACTTATGTATGCACACATACGTATTTTGAAAGAAGCAATTGAGTTTAAGATAACCAGTGTACCAGTATTTGAAATGCGAAAGTATAAATTGTGTGTGTTTTCAGGCAATGCTTTCCATTCAAATGCATCCCACAGTATTCATGCTCTAACACTTCGATCAGGAGAAGCCCAATGCTTCTTCAGTGTATGGGGAGCTCAGAGCTGAATTCACCTTTTTTTGCCAAGGCAAAGATGTGTTAATAGCAACAAAGAATAAAAATTCACTTAGTAGTCATCTTTGCTCCTTCTGCTCCCAGGTGCTCTCTTACTATGTTAACAGATCACATTGTTCTCTTTTTTCTGTCTGTTGGTTCTTTTGCTTCATGCCTCCCTAATGTGAATGTCCTTGTCTTCTCCTGTTCCTTTTATGGTGAACGCTTCTTCTGCCACACCTTTCAATCCTTTTTTCCAGATCATCTCATCTCTCCATACCACAGGAACCATTCTAGATCTCCTACCCTCTTACTCTGCCCTTTTGTTCTCCAGTCTCCTCTCCTCCAGCAGCCTACATGCTGAGTTATCCTCCCTTCCACTGCCCCAGTGACCTCCCTCACCCCCAAATCCTTCGTCTTGAGTCAAAGCAGAGACTAGAAAATCCAGTGAAGCATTAGCTAGCCAAGCACTCCAAGGGGCAGCTGGCCATTTTTCCATAGCAGGTTTTTAATCTTGAGGCTACAAGTCCATGAAAGTGTGTGAGAGTGACAGAGTTAGCATTTCCCATAAATCCTTCTTTGCAAAAATGATAGAGTGCCTTTAAAGAAGAAAGGCATGTTCTGCTGTATTTCTTCCTTGAGAAAGGTAAGAATCTGACCTTCAAGTCAGGCTCAATGCTGGCCTTAGGGAAAATTCAGTTTTCTCACCCAAGTTGTTGATTCAAGTCCCTGTCTTCTGTGTATCATCACCTAAGGTCTTGATGCCTCTGGTTCAGCTGCTTTCCAAATCTCTTTGAAATGCCCCCTGAGATCACCGTCTCAGGCCACTAGTGTAGATTGGGCAGGGGGAGCCTTGGCCTCCTGTGAATTCATAGCTTAGGTTCAAGCATCTGCATACCAGCCCATCACTGCGGGCTCACTAATGCACTTATCCTCTAGGTGAGGATTTGCTATATACTAAGACCAATCCAGGCTTTAACAGCATATGGACAAATAAACATCTGCAATAGCAGCCAAGTTTTGTTTGCAATTGGAAGCCGAAGCTCAGAAACAAGAGCAGAAGTAGCCCCACACTTTGAGTGCATGGTTATCTCCTGACTCTCCCTATTAGGAGCATCCTCCACGTCATAAACCCTTTCTCTTTTAGCCTGCTCCTTGGGTGAGGAGGGGTAGGAGTTGGTGTCCTATGGCCCAAAATGCACAGGCATTACCAGTCCTTACTTGTTCCCAACTGGAAGTTAAGTGTCTTTGTTTGTTATCCTTCCTTTCTGGGATAATAACCTCAACACTTTCATCTGTTAGAGGGTTAAGCACTCTAAGACAGACATGTAAAACAGACTAAAATCACCTAAGCAAATCATTCCCCTCTCACAGCTGTATTGCCAGTTAAATCAGGTGATCATTTTCTCTTGATATGTGAATAACAGACTGTGAGATCATGGAGTGCTGCAGGGGTATTTTGACACAACCCAACTGTTTGACTCAGTAGTCCCAATTATAATCCCTTCACAATTTATAGGGGAATAAAATGATATCCTGCGTCAATGTTTGTCAACATTGGTCTTAAGGTTTTGAGGGAGGCTGATTTTTTTTTTTTTTAAGTTTGAAAAGCCTTACATTTGACTAAGGAGTGTGAAGAAACAACATGGGAATTTGTACATGCAAAATAAATAATAATGATATATTCAGTAATTCAGTTTGTCCTTACAAATATGAAATATGCCTCTTCATCCTGCTTTGAAATTATGTTCCTTCTAGTTTTGAAGTAGTCCGGAAGAATGTTCAAATTACTGTGACAAATGTCTGAGTTTTCTTATCATGTGTAAAAAGGAATAAAATATACCCGAACTATAATTTAATACATCTTCAGCTTTTTCTTGCAGTTTATTATGATGTCACTAGAAAACCCTCAGTGGAATTCTGAGGTTATTATGTACAGTTGGGACTACATTGGTCTTTGTGCTGTATTATTTATGGGCAAAGTCACTGAAAATGTTTTATTCAGTAGAAAATGTTGCAGCTGGAAAGCTCCTGGAATGAAAGAATGGAGACATTTTTCAACAGCGCTTACAGCTCAAAAATAGAGTAATTAGGTGTGTTAAGTATCCGTTAGGGAATGCAGTTATCCTAACTATGGTGGGAGTGTAAAACTTTAGTTTACAAAACTGCCAAAATTGGAACTCAAACCAGCACATAAGAGAGAGGCTGTTTGTTTACCATGCTGAATTACTGCAAAGTGGGAAACATGAATAAGCAATAAAGAAAAAAGCTGATGCTTTTTTTTTTTTTTTTAACAGACCAAATTGTACCTTAGGGAGCTCTGAAGGCCAGAATGGAAATGAGTTTAAGTATTTAAAGAAAATAAACCAGATTCTCCTTGTAGTGCTATCCAGCCAGCTTCAGAGAAGTCAGAAAAATGAAGGAAATTGAAGTCAGTGGGTGTGCACAGATGTAACAAGTAGTTAATAGGTTTTCATTTCGGATTTCCAGCTAGCATCAGATATGGCAGTGTATTGTTGAAGGTACTGTCCTTGTATCTTTTACAAAAGATAGGAGGATTCAAGCAGCCCACAGCACGTTTCATTTCCATGAAACATTTTTGTAGTTACTGCATTTCAGCCTGTGGATGTGTAGCCAGTTTGTGTTCAGAGCTCTTGCAGCTTCCTGTTCTTGGCTGGTATGAAGGTTGGCCCACTCTTCCTAGTCAGTGCCTCATGGTATCCAGAAGCCTATTTTGAGAAGAAAAGCGTACAAAATTTTGTTAGGCAATGCACTAGGGAGGACTAGTGAAATGTTTCCTTTCCCTAGAGAGTCTTGAAGTAGAACTTTGCCTTATAACCTCACTTGAAGTTGATGGCATTTGTTCTCTGCTTCACTGATTAATTTGGATCAAATTGTTACAATTTTTAAATTAACTTAGAGGAACAAGAAGAGTAAGAGTGGGTGTTAATCTCCTTTTCCAAGCAAATGGCTACTCTACAAAATGGCTCCTTTGGGAGCTCAGCTTTTCATCTTCTGCCAACAGGCAGTATCAGGAGTAGAGGCATGCAAGTCATAAAGTAGTTCCTAGATGCATCTTTTGTTCACGCATGACCCACATTGCAGATTACATTGAAATCAAGACAGTCAGCATTTCAAATGCCAAAACATTGTGGCCGCAAAGCATAATTTCTATGTTCCTTAAATCTTTAGATGACTGTCTCAAATGCAATATGAATGAATAATAATTAAGAGTGGCTTTTCTTGGTAAATGCCAAATAAATTGGCAGGTCTCGAGCTGTTTCTCGTAGGTGCTGATGCTGTGAATTTCATCAGTGAGCCAGTATTGCCATTACTGTGTTTTATGATCCCTTTAGGACAGAATTAGAGTCCATTGGCAGAGACAGATTTTACTCAGACTGCTGTGCTGCACTGTTTTCCTGGGTAAAGGGAGGGTGTCACTCCCTTCTCACGGGCACTCAAATTTTGCAGGAAAGTTGAGGGGATGGGGTGGGCAGAGGGGAAGTCAAAGGTTTTGTCATATGAAAGGCCGGTGTTAGGTGGTTTCAAGTTTAAATCTAATCCAATTCTAAAAGCATGGAAGCTCAATTAAGACTTCAGATTGTATGCATTATGGGGGAGAGTCTGCATCTTGTGTCTTCTGTAAAATAAGAAGTTCTCTGTTATAAGTAGTATGTCCTATTTGATAAGTGAGACCTCTACCTCTGAATAATGGAGGCATAGCAGTAAACATGTCTTTTGTCATCCTTGTTTTGCCTAGTCATTCTTTTGACAACATTTTTCCTAAACCGTGATTCACTTGAAGCTAAGATGTCCCCAAGGTTTTAAACAGCTCAATACAACTGCCTACAAGTTTTCTGCAAGGGGGCTTACACAAGAATGCAGTAATTGGAGTAGATATTTCCTTACGCTGAAAAATAGAATGTTCTTTAACCTTTCCTTTAACGTGGTTCACCCAGATCTTCAAACTGACTAGCAAGCAGTATTACTAGTTTCTGAGACAGCTCTCACTGACAACAGTCAAATCTCTTGGCTTACTGTGCCCTGTTCCTTATGCCTACCTGTGAATTAATCCTTAACGTCCTAGAAAAAAGGAAAAAAAGGCATTGGAAAGCTTTATCTGAATTAGTCATAAATAAAGAATTCAGTGTAAGCCATGGCATCAGTTATTTTCTCCTGAAATTTAGTGACTCATTCTTGCAGACAGTTCTGTGCAACAGTCAAGTCTAACAACATGGCTAGCCTAAATTGATCTATAACCCAGATCTACAAAGATACTTTGATGCCCAAGCCTCTGACCTCAGTGGTATTTAATCACCTAAAAAGGAATTTGGTTATTCCTTTATGGAGTTGACCTTTTGTTTCTCTACATTTTCTGTGTACTTTTTAAATACTGCTGGCTGACATACATGAACATGTTACCAATTCTAAATTATAGAATTTATAGAAGAGGGTGTGCTTTGGGGAAAGAAACATATGCAAATCCTAATATATTTTTTTTTTCTTTGAGTTGAAAGCAAAGATAATTTTTTAAATTATGAAATAATTAATTTGTACTAAGCCAGAAAAT